TTAGGGTTTAGGGTTTAGGGTTTCAGGGTTTAGGGTTTAGGGTTTAGGGTTTTAGGGTTTAGGGATTCCAGGCCTGTTCCCCAGTAGGGTTTAGGGTTTAGGGTTTAGGGGTTTGGGTTTAGGGTGTAGGGTTTACGGTTTAGGGTTTAGGGTTTAGGGCTTTGGGTTTAGGGCTTTCGGGCAGTTTAGGGTTTAGGGTTTAGGGCTTAGGGCAGTTTCGGGTTTAGGGGTTAGGGGTTTAGGGGTTTAGGGGTTAGGGGTTTAGGGGTTCGGGTTTAAGGGTTTAGGGTTTTGGGTGTAGGGTTGAGGGGTGCGGGGTTGGTTCAGGATTTCAGGGGTATAGGGGGTTGGGGTTGAGAGGGTACGGCTAAGGGCAAAAGGTTTATATAAGGTCTCTTTTGGGAAGGGAGGGATTTAGAACCTGGCAGCAACGGTTTGTGGCATTCTGGAGCTCAGCCGGATTCGCACCTTTCGATACTTCTAAATGCATTGAGTTCAAGGTTTACGATGTCATCCAGTTTGATCTGATTTGATAAGGGCTAGTTGACGGATTGGGTTGGCTACTCCGTACATGTCCGGCTTCTGTGATAGCCAATAGCTCCCCCTCTTCGAAGACCTAATATAACTCTTCACGCTTCTGTCTTGAATTGCGGGACAAGTCACGTATCCGGTGGCCTTTCGACATTGAACTATTTAAAGCCCTTCCCCAAATCTCGAGCCCTACACCATACAGACATCCTGAGCCCGAAACCTTACGCGAAACCCGAACTACTATGGGGGCGAAAGTAATTACTAACACTATTCTTGAGGGATCTCTCTCGAAAAAGGCCACCCCAAACTTCAAACCCTTGTCCATTGTCACTAAAACCATCGAAACCCTGTCCCTCTTAGCTGCAGCTCCAATAAATAAAGCACGTTTTGAGCCCTTTAAAAGAGCCCGGTAGAAAGCCCTTAAACGACAACTTAAAGGGCACCTTAAAGAAAAATAGATTCAGCAGATCCCGTGAAAGATCCCTTGAAAGAGCCTCCCCGAAGCCCTTACAACAGCCCACAAACCTCATGAGAGCTATCGAACCCTAAGCCTAAATCCTAGAGCTTTAGCCCTAAGCACTTCATGGAGACCCTGTGTAGTCTAGGACATTTTCAGGTAGGTAGCTACCGTTATAGGAGCCTTATAGAAGGTCTATATACCTTATAGAAGCCTTATAGAAGCCCTATATACCCTAAACTCCCCACCTGTAGTTTCCTTAAATCTACACTTCCCTAAACCCTAAACCCCTAAACCCCTAAACCCTAAACCCTAAACCCTAAACTCCTAAACTCTAAACTCCCCACCTGTAGTTTCCTTTCATCAAGAGCCCTTCAGAGAACTTCTCCGAAGGCTCTGCCGAACCCTAAACCCTAAACCCTAAACCCTAAACCCTAAACCCTAAACCCTAAACCCTAAACCCAAGGCTCTGCCGACCCAAATCTTCCGCCGGAGCTTCTGCGTGGTCTCAGTGGGATGAGCAACGGGCCGCCAACGCTTCATCGCCCCGCTGGCGGCAGATTTTCAGAGGGCGGGGAGGGTTTCAGGGTTTAGGGTTTAGGGTTTTAGGGTTTCAGGGTTTAGGGTTTAGGGTTTGGGGTTTTCAGGGTTTCAGGGTTTAGGGTTTAGGGCCCTACGTACTTCCCTCTAATAAGGCCATGTTTGCCTCCATATCCCAAGCCTTCACGCGGGAAGGCCGGCTATGAAGCCTCTGGGCTTTGGAGTACCATACTTTAATACTTTGTTTGGGGGACCTGTTACTGAAAGGAACCATCAATTATGAAGCAACAGTCTATACTTTTGGGGGACCTGTTCCTTAAAGGAGCCAGTATGAAATAAAAGTCTATACTTTTGTCTCCCTAAACCCTAAACCCTAAACCCTAAACCCTAAACCCTAAACCCTAAACCCTAAACCCTACTTCAAAGCCCAGGTGGAGTGCTAATCAAAGCTGAGGCCTCGAGCCTGGAGCCGAAAGGCTCTATGAAGCCTTTTGGGGTTTAGGATTTAGGGTTTAGGATTTGGGGTTTAGGATTTAGGCTTTAGGATTTGGGGTTTAGGATTTAGGGTTTAGGATTTGGGGTTTAGGATTTAGGGTTTAGGATTTGGGGTTTAGGATTTAGGGTTTAGGCTTTAGGGTTTAGGCTTTAGTGTTTCGGC